AAACAGAGGCATGCATAGAGTCGACGACTGCATAATACAACGGTCGCTATAAATATTGCAGCCACCGATACAATGCACAATACGCGAACTACACACGTACCAGAGATTACAAACTAACGAGTCACGCGTCATGTGAATCACCCTAAGGGAGATTCGGCTCCATTCAACACCAACAGGGTGAAAAGTTAGGCGAAAGAACGGTCCGATCGAACGAAAGGGTTGCATGCAGCTTCCCTTTCGCTGTCCAAGGACAATCAAGTACTCTAGAGACTATACGAATTTATAGTATGTTCCAATAAAATTTTCTCTCGTGTAAACATAACCTACATTTCTGTACGCGCGCTTACTTTTTCTTTGACACTAGAATGGCCAGCCTGGTCAAACTATTGCCAACTTTCCAAAATAAAAAGGGGAACTTTTGACACTGATAAGTATTAAAATACATTAGAAGGTGTAGATAATATAATAATTGAATATTTTTATTTATTATCGATTGACATTTTTAATATTAATTCTTTAAAAAAAAATTAATACCTTAAAAAATTTTTTAAAAAATTCACTTTTGGAAAATTGCTAATGGGTCGTTTTAACCCTAGCCAGTTCTTCTAGTATTAATCATTGGCGACAGAAAGAATTGTTCACGATAAAAATAACATAATACTTATTTCTTTCACGATATTATTATTTACAATAATTTCAGTATCTTTAAACAAAACCACATACTATTGTATTGACTATATGTTAAAATACTTTTGATGAATGTTAACTGAGAAATTATTATTCTCCACGAATAAAGCCAACAGTTGGTTTATGAGCGAACCTATTGTAAGTCTCTTCTGAGAAGTTAATACTTTTAAATTAATAATCAAGAAAAACACTCTCGGCAATTCATTTCAGTGTACACCATAAACATTGTGAATATCCTGCTTGTGCAGTCACGTGGTATGAGGTAACAAAGAAATAACTTCACGGTAGAGAAACGATAATATTCATTTCACCGACGATACTTCAGTTAGTGGCGTGCGCCGAACCATTTTCTCTTTGTATTTTCTGTTATCGGTGAACCGTGGGGTATTCCCCTAATTATCGCGATCGCAGCGCGGTGCCATACACTGGCAACAACCTAACCTATCACGCGAACATAATTAACATATCTAATTTCTTTCAATTTTTCATTACGAAAACACGAAAACCTGAAGAAGCATCTCGAAACATAATCTACCACCGTACATATTTCCTTTTCCTTTTTTTTCAAACGTTAAATAAAATATTTCTCGCGATATTCTTCCTGTATCGTGCAAAAACTTACTTTCACAACGAAGGGAATTTTTTCTACAACTATTGCAATACGTCAAAAACAACTGTATTGTAATTTATTACTGAAATAGTCGTATGATATTTTAACGAGTACAGATCCGATAGAAGTTTACGATTGAACTTTTTCTGTTCTTTTTTTGCCTTCAAGCGAGAAAATAGAAGATGTGCAGAAATATTGAGCGACCTGTTCCAGTTTCTTCGACTGCTAGAGTCGTCGAGACTCTATTCATTGTTGTATTTTCAAAAAGGAAAAAAAAAAAAAGAGTAAA